TTTGTGGGATCTTTGGGCCCAGGATTTGGGGTGTAAGCAGAGGTCCTTAGGGCAGGGATTTGGGGTCTAAGTGGAGCTCCTAGAGCAGGGATTTTAGGGGATCTCTGGAATCAGGATTTGGGTGCCATGTAGGGCTCAGTGGAACAGGGATTTGGGGTCTAAGTGGAGCCCCCAGAGCAGGGATTTTAGGGGATCTCGGGGGCCAGGATTTGGGGTGCAAGCAGAGGTCCTCAGGGCAGGGATTTGGGGTGTAAGTGGAGCTCCCAGAGCAGGGATTTTAAGGGATCTTTGAGGCCGGGGTTTGGATGCCACATAGGGCTCAGTGGAACAGGGATTTGGGGGTTAAGCAGAAGGTCAGGGTGCTTCTGGGGGCAGGATTTGGGTGGCAAAGGGGGCCAAAGGGACAGGGATTTGGGGTGCAAGCAGAAGGTCCAGTGACTCTTTGGCATGAGGATTTAAGTGCCAAGAGAAAGTCAGCAGAATGGGGATTTGAGGGTGTAAAATGAGGCTTCCAGGGAAGGGATTTTAGGGTCTGGGGGCAGAGGTTTGGTGGGGACAAACAGAAGGTCCTGGAGAGGTTTCTGGGGACAGGACTTGGGTGGCAAGAAGGGCTCGGTGGGACAAGAATTTGGGAATGGAAGGGGAAGTCTCTGGGACAGATATTTGAGTGCCAAGTGGGGATCAGTGAGGCAGGGACATACACAGGGCAGGAAAGGGTTTCCCGGGGGTTTTAGGGGTCCCTGGGTGGGCTCAGAGCCTCTGTGGCCCCACACTCACACGTCTGGCAGTCCTGTTTCCCCTCGCCCCAGCAGTGCCCCTCGGCACAGAGCGCCCGGCAGTCAGGACCTGCATGGGGGAAAGCGTGAGCATGGGGTGCCAGGGGCGGCTGGAAACCCCCAGACCCCTCCCTGGCACCACAATCCCCCCTTTGGGGCACTCACAGCTGCGGGTGCGGGTGCTCTCCACCTGGATGTCGCCRCGGAACTCGTTGTGCCGGTGGAGGATGTCGCTCCACAGGATGGTCTCCTGGAAGCAGAGCTCGGGGTTCCTCTCGATGAGCACCC